TACACATGAAGCAGTTGGCTTTGAAAACAATCGGTTGTTTAATCGATCAGCGATTCAATTTTTCCACATTATTAATTCTTTTGCTTTCTTCCATACTCTTCCTATAGTTTTATTGTCCTCAGATCTTGCCATGTTTGTTGTAGACTGTCCTTTACTTACATGGTGGGTAGGAGGCTGTTCTGACGATTTCCACTACTCGCATCTGGTGCTTTGTCTGTGTTTACAGCTAAGGGATGAAACATAGACGGTAAACTTATTTGTATACTGGAATATGTAATTTTCAAACATATCTTAAAAGGTATATTTGGTAATTGATCAGCTGTGCTTCGTAGCTCGCTCCTCGGCCTTGCTTCTTGCAGCTTTTCAATCGTTTTGACCAGTGCTGCATCGTCTGGTGGTTAGCCTGCAGATGACCTTGATGCCTGTTGTTTTTTATTAAAGTAGACTGGTGATAATGCGTTAAAAACATAATTTCTCCTTTCTAGCCACGGGTTTCTTAATTTTTAAAAAATTTCGAAATTCCGACTACAGTCCCAAAATGTTACTCTTAAAAAATGCAATTTACTTTAGGAACCATTGATGAATGTCCAATCGCCACCTACACATTCTTAAACGCTTACTAAATAGTTTTCAGTTCAATTTGGTGTGCGAAAATGAGCACTGGGCAAAACACGCTTCATCGCTTTTTATGTTTGGTAAGTACCACTGCTACCTCGAAAACCTTTGCTTTTGCAAAAATCCTGTTACTTTTGGAGCTTTCGCTATCTCCAGGGCCAGTCCTATCTCGTGGGTGCATTTTTCAGGTGGTTTATTGATACCGGTGCTCACGCAGCTGTCGGATCTGTACGGTCGACGAATGGTTTTCCTGCTCATGCTTTGGTGTGCTAGTATAGCTTCGTTTGCATGTTCCTTGGCACCAACAGTTCTCACATTCCTCATTTGTCGTCTTATTCTTGGCATTGGCACTACGGTAGCTTATTCATTTTCAACTGTTCACGGTATAACAGATGTGGCGCAAAATTTTGAGAATTTTATAATGAAGCAGTAAAAAGCAAGATTGATAAAACTTTAGTGCTATAGGGGAACCACAATAATATTAATATAAATAACAGTGGTGATGATGATATTAATATCGATAATTAATAATGATGACAACGATAATAACAGCAACAATAAAAATAAAAAGAGAAAACAATAGCGGAAAGGGAAGAACGTATGAAAGATAAAACAGTACAAAAATTGAAACAGCAGGAAAATCGTTTTGCGCAAATTATGATTATGTTAGTAGACTGCTACTTACTGCAATTTTTTCGTTTTTCAACAGCAAGCGCACACAAGCACGCGTAAATTGGACACGTCGTTGGTGCGCTTATTCAAGCGGTCATTTTACCGTTACGAGCAAGAAAAAAGTGCATGAGGCTGGCTCCTAGGTGAATTTGACTTCAAAACGTAAGGCCTGGTTGCTTAGCCAGGGCTAGCAAAGCAGGAAATTTTCATTGCAGGGTTACTTCGCTGTCATGTCGATAATGTGCTGCGAATCAGTGTCCGTCGAATTTCGGTCGCTAATCCCGGTGTTGTTCACGATAACTTGGGTGACGGGTATTATGGCTGTTGGCTTACTGAGGATATGGATCCACAGCTGGAGATACCTCTATTTCATCATATCCATCCCCAGCCTGTTCACCATTTCCTATTACTGGTTAGTTTTCATTTTTCTCATTCACTTCTTCCTCAGTGCATGTGTTTCAAGAGATGCTGAAATCTGTTTTTCCTTTCTACCAAACAAAGAAAAATGGTGTGCAAGGAATAATGGTGTTTTGAACTTGAGCAGTAACCTCTGAACTCTTGGCTATACACCGACGGGTAACTAAATCCAATATGTGAAGTAATTTTAAAACAATAAAAAATGCAGTGACGGACTCCCCTGAACGCCTACATGGAATTACGTGGATGGGAGAAGCCCAAAACAGAAGAGAAAGGAGAAACTGTCAGACACATTAATGGCGAGAAGAAACGCGACAATGCAAAAATAATTAATTGAAGTATCGAAGTAATGCGGCTGAAAATAAAATCTAAATGTGATAGAGCCAAAAATGACTTTCAGGTGCTATCTTTCTCACGAAATCTTTTGCAAATACTGATTTTCTTGAGGATTGAGTCGAGAATAAAAGGTAATTTTTTGCTGTGGCAGGTAGATAGCGCGTTCTGCCGAGTGAATCTTTAGAGCCAACGAATCACCCACTCTTCCCCGCAAATCGTTTCAGGCTTCTACCAGAATCGCCGCATTGGTTGATTAGTCACAGGAAGCATCGTGCCATCGACAAGTAAGTCCTGATCAGATTTAAGATAATTGAGAAAATGATTTTATCAAATGCAAATACAGTTTCCCATATAAATGCAGTGTATTAAGTAGCTACTGAAGCAGTGATCTGTTGCGTTAACCATTCACTAAGTTTTCAAGGATTTATGTACTCTCCGCAGGATCTCTCGGCATTCCTTAACTACAACAGAACATTTGATGTGTTGAAGTTGTGAAAAACGAATCGAAACCTTTCGAAACCGGCACAAACCGAAAGTAGCATTTCAATGTTTATGAAAGATGAAAACACTTGGAAGTAACATTTTTAGCACAAGGTCGGAATCATAACTGAGGAGGTGATGGTTAACAAAATAACGATTCTGCCAGGAGAAAATAATGATTTTTTCACTTATTGCAATCATTTTCGTTGATTCTCTCGTCCGGAGCTGATGACGATTTATTTTGATTTCCTGGCATGTGCCACTACTAAATAAAGTTATAATGATTCGCTATTTTATTCGTTTTCAGGTATATCGATGACGCTTGTCACTATAACAACATGAAAATCAATCTGAGCAATTGCGAATCGCATGTGCAGTTGGAGGCGCATTACAAGCCACGTACTTTTATGGATATTATACGCAACAAAGTGGCACTCTTCCATCTGTTGGTACAATGTTATGTGATGTGCGTCTTATGCTTCAAGAATGGGAGAAATTTAAAACTTAAAATGAGAACTTTTTTAAAAAATCAACGGTATCTGTGGGAAACAGAGAACTCGATAGTTTTATTGGCAGTTTGAATCTTAGCCCTGTGCGTTGGGGCTAGGGCTCGAAATACCAGTAGGGCTGTCAAGTTCTCTGGGATTCGTTCATTCGTTTTGATGGTAAATTGGTACTAGCACAAAGCAACTATTTGCTTGGTTCTAAGCAATCTCAAGAAAGTAGGCGTCAAAATCCTTGTCAGCGGATGGTTGCTGTAAGCATTTGTTATGATTAAGACTACTTCTAAAGACCCTCCGTCTTTCACAGAGAACGAATACGTGGATAGATTTGACTTTTGACATTGATGTGGGCTACGCCCAAATTTCTTTTTGGAATTATGAGACAGAAAGGGTGCAAGAATTCTGCACCGTTTGTCTTTATTCAGTTTCTGCAAGCCTAAAGAGGAGTATCACTTAAACACTGCAACAGAATGGCTGAATGGAACTTCAGGGCTACAATGAACATATCCTACTGGGGCATGGCGTTGCTGAGCACGACGTTGAGTGAGGATAGCTATACGGGTTACTTCCTATCCGGCTTCACTGAGCTGCCAGCCGGTCTGCTAGCTGTTTTGTTGCTGCAGAAATTCGGACGACGCTCGATCAGCATGTGGTCCTTCCTGTTCCAGTCTCTTTTCCTCTTCCTTGCCGTACTCTTCCCAGGTAGTTTTGCTCTTGAAGTTGATCAAATTATAAACGAACAGTATTAGTAATGATCCGAGAACCACGCTGGAAATCCGTTTTGAAATAGAGCTACCTCTTTACTTTTGAGAAATTTTTGCTTCTTTTCGGACTTCCTTGTTCCTGGAAATTTGTGTGTTTCTTCAGAAAAGAAATTTCTGCATTTTTTCAAAAATTTGAATTCGGAAATTTCTTTTGCTTGAATGTATTTTACGGACAAAGAAGCTATAAAAGATGTGGATTCGATTTTAATGTAGCGGGAATAAAGTACTTTAAATATGCTGACTTGAATATATACTTGTTGCTGGAAGCGGTTGCTAGTTCGTCACTGATTCAAATTCGCAATATTCTCCAATAGTGTTTCTGATGCAGAGAGCGCAGCAGAAGAAAACAAAAAAAAATTATAAAAAAACAACAAAATAATCTCGAGTTGCAGCTCTTGTTTAGTCAAAGTCAGATGTCAGAGCTCGTAATGCAGCAGCAAAATAGAACCTTCTGCCCAGGCTGGATGCCGAGGTTTCGTCTTCATCAGTCGTAAAATCAACATGAGCAAATTTGTTGCAGGTCCCGGCCCGGTGCAGATATCGTTTGCAGTGGTAGCGAAACTCTTCAACAGTTTTATCTGGGCGGCCCAGCCACTTCTGCTGGCCGAAATGAGTCCAACGACAATTCGGAATACATTTTTTGGAGCAGTACAGTTTGCCGCCGAAGCTGGCTCCATCTCAGCACCTTATCTGATTTTACTTGTACGTTACGAATTTCCTCACAACTGAACCAGGAGATAGCGTCACCACTATTGAATAGTACGCAGTGAGAGTAGATCTTCGGTTCAATCTTGCCGGTGGAGCGGCTAATCCTTTACGATTCGATCATTCGTTTCAGTGGTAAATTGGTATTGGCCCATGACAAGAATTAAAAGCACTGTGAACTCGCTTCTATGAAACTTTTAAAAGAAAGAGCTTTACTGTCGGCTGATTTATCATCTGCTAACGTTTAAGCCATTTTCCAACAGTCTGGCCTTTTCGAGCGAACAAATTTGGTTGCGGTTTTGAAATGCACATTTTTTGAATGCTTGAATACCACAATGACCATGTGCTCTTCGCATTTTGATACCCTGAGACAAGAAATCACTAAGTTTTCTTTACGCTGTTTTAAAAGAGTTGGGAAAGAAACAGGACTGAGGTTTCTAGTGTTTTTTTGGGAAGCCAGATTTTATACGTATATCATTATTAACATCTTTATTGTTGAAGCATTTAAGCACTGTTACAGAAGAATCTTAATGACCGCGCTCCGCAAGCAGCAGTAACGATTTTTTCGTTTTTCGCTGCTTTATTGCTGGTCACTGCACCGGAAACAAGGGGCCGTGCGATGCCGGAGGATCTTGATCAATTCGATCCAGGATGCTTCTTGAGAATGTTCGGATTTCAAGAGCAGAGGAAGAGGAGTATTTTGCTTACTGCGAAGGAAATTGACGAAGCAAGTTTTTGCACGCTTGTTTTATTTCTGCCTTTCTGTTTTTTCACAAGAAAATACGAAATGATCAATCTTTACAAAAACGCCCTCCAGGACGTGGTCATTGGTCATTGGAATATGTAGCCCTGTCAGAGAACAACAAAAGCCGTGCAATAGTTTCTGATTAGCAGATGCGTTATCAGCTACGCTACAGCTAAGCCTACCTTCTTTAATTGTTTAAACAGGCGAAAAAGACCATTCCAAAGAACAGATGCTTTTTGGTTGCCAGCTGATTGTGTTTATTCATAAATAGCTGCAAAAGTGTTTTTATGCTAATTTGCTTGAGTTTCTGAAAATGATAATGTCAGATTTTCGAACAAATTAAATTCCAAATCCAGTGATAAACACGCAGCAGAGCATCCAAGTTTCATAGTTTTATAGAAACGGGGCATTCAAGTTACTGTGCAAATTTAAGTTATTGCCAATTTTGGCTGGACTGTATTGCATTAGGACATTCACGCTGTCTACACAACTTATCTTGCATTTAACCCGCCACCAGCTTGCTTTTAAGCAGCCACCCCTGTTTTTTCAGTTAAAATTTTGAGGACTGCGTCATTTGTGAACAGCTTTTGGCGTTCTCTGAGAAAATTTTCTTGAATGTTTTTTGGTCTGTTTGTGTTTTCTCTGAATTCTAATTTTTTCTTTTATTGCAGGCACAGGAGGTAGTGCAATCGAGCGCAGCGAAACTGCTAAAAATTGATGAAAAAGATACTTTCAAATAAGTATCTGATAACGACAAATGCAATAAAATGTAGCCTTTTCCCGGTTTATAACACAAAACGACTGTCTAAGGGCTGGTTCTGAATATCAAAGAAAAATCGTTTAACAGTATCAGCTCAAAAGACATGAATAAGTTGTGAAAACACTCACGTGCATGGATAACTCCAAAAAGTGGAACTAGAAGGCACAGCTCCTGAACACAATGATAATATTAAGCAGTAGTGAAACGCCAATTTAATACTCAGCCGGTATCCAGTTAGCATGAATATATGCAGGTGTTTTGGTGAAATATAAGAATCGGATCCACAAACTGCTATGAATGGAAAGTGTAAACTAGGCCTGATGACCGCAGTATAGCCTGCGTGTCTTAGTACAGCGTGAAAACGATCCGAATCAGCAACTACTAAAGTACAGCGCCGCTTCGCACAGTAGGATATAGCCGCGCACCACGCACTGAATGTCAGATTAAGTTGCAGTGTTGAGCTAAGGCGTATACATTTTATGTTCGGCCAGTCGCTCAAGCACATTGGACGATTGCCAAAATAATGCAACAGTAAATCTCTCAGTGACAAGAAACGGTTGTCCATACAACTATTTTATCATATTTTAAGCGACCTGTTTGCTCACTCTGTTCGTCTGGTTTCATGAAAAATAACCCAAACACAGGAGGGCACGGTCAAGGTCTGTTGCAATCTTTTGCGTATGTATTGGTCATCTCTGCCGAATTAAGGTCAGCGAATCGTTTTATGCATTGTGCAATATCTCTCGGGAGGTAAATTATGCATTCGGTAGGGTACCATGTACTTACAGCTGGTATTTTCCCTTTCCCATCCTCATCCTGCAATTTTGCCATATATTCGACTTTTGCAAAAGCACTTACATCTTTTAAACTTTGCGCTTTTTTTCCCGGGCCACACTTTTCTTGTTTCTGACCAAGATTTGCAACTCTTCTGGCTAAGATTTACAACTCTTCTGACCAAGATTTAGCCCTCGAAGATTTACCCGCCAAGACTAACCCACCAAAATTTATAACTCAGCCCCTTTTACCCATTCCAGTTCCTCTGCAAGCTTTTCCAATAATATTCCGGTGTTTTTGCATCCAATCGAGCTCAGCTGGACTGTCAACATCCTTTTCCCGCTGCATTTGAAATATACCATAAATAAAGGTTTAAATTGCCGAAAATGGAAATATGGTGTAAATAATTTCATCTTGTTAATCAGACAGTATTCCGAAATTGTCTAAAATGTCATGATACAGGCACTGCACTGATTTATCAGCTGCTCACCGTTCAGCCCATTATTTCGGACTGACCCTGGATTACTATTAATTATTGATGATTATCAAATTCTTGGCCAATTTCTTGCCGATGTTGCAGTGGTAATCTATGGCTTCCGCTGCCAAGTTACAAAGGCAGTCCATAACCTTCATAAAAAAAACGCATTTTTCTTGCGTTCAAGGAAAAGTGCTTGGAACGATTTATGTTTCCACTATTACATTGTCA